TATGACAAATGCATGCATATATTTCACCCAAGCTAAAGGCATTCTTTACACACCAGAAGACCGAGGCCAATTCATGTTTCTCACTGTGGTAGCTTAGTGGTGGGATCCATGATGTGCATGCATCAGTTTCAGGCAGTGGTATTTCCAATTAAAGGAATCACAGCAGAACTTGGAAGAATCTTTTTCTAAGGCTTTGGACAAGAGCTGCCAGAACAGATAAAACTATATGCTCAATGTATGTATCTATATCATATGTACACTCATCAGCCTAAGTTTAACCTCATCAAATCTGATAAACACCACTGCATTCAGGATCTACTTGGAATGTGAAATGTTTGCAAATATTCATAGCAGCTGTCTGCAAGCTCTGTTGAGCTAGTCTGTTCAGGATTCATAAGAACTCCACTCCTGACTGGCATGACCTGTACAACTGGGGATGGATCGAAAGCACGGTGGATATGGAAAAAGTGCTGAATGGCTGCTTCCAGTGCAATGAAGAAGCAGCCCAAATGGGACACAGTCCTGAGGCTCTTTGTTTTGAACTGTGGTGCTAAAGGTTGTCACAGCTTTCCTTCTTTATGAAGAGTAAGATACAGTACAGTTGGGTAGCCAGTCTGAACTGTTTATCTACTTTAGTTAAGTAAAAGAAAAAACTAAGCTGCAAGACTTCTGTCTGTGGTGAGAAGAATTTGATTTCAATGCATATGGCTGTAAATCTCATCAACAGATGGTGTAAATATTGGCATATTATGGTGCCATCTTAAGCAGAGAGCTATATCTTTCTAAAAAAATATATCAGTGGCCTTAGGAGTGGGGACCTCTGTGTAGGATGACAGTGTCAGGAGACATTCTTACTAAACTGATTCCAGCCTAGATAAGGGAGCATCCCTCAGAGGAGAGATTGTATGGTGTGTTAAGTCGCTCACTTAACAAAGTAGTCGGAGAGTGATTCAGCAAAGATTCAGCTTTATTCAACAACTCCAACACGGATCAACATGAATAGCCAGAACAGCTTTTACACTGCAGGTGCTCTGCTTTTAAACTCTCCCGGCTAATGTAGCCACGCCTACTATACAGATATCAACCAATTAGGTTGTCTACATAAAGACCAATCACGGACGTTCCCACCCAGGGAGCTTGCTGGTACTTGATTGGCTGGTTCTTCCTGGGCTACCAATATGATTGGAGGGATTTGGATCCTAGCCCAGGACAAAGCTTCACATGGTGTTTCAATAGGGTGATTCACATACAGTTTGCCTTGCATTGAATACACCACATGGTGAATATTTTCTGTTACTTCTGTTAGAAATGCCTTTGTGCCCCACCCCCAGATCCCAAGTTTAAATGTGGCACCTGCCTTCAGTGAATCTCAATTGCAGTTAGAATAGGACCCATCATCAGAAACTTTGTGTTAGTGGGAAAGTGCCTTCAGAAACACATGGTATGAATTGTCACAGGTACCAAAAAAGGAAAATTAAATCTAAGGTCTTATTAGGAAACAATGAAAATAAAATAACAAGTATCCATTATATGAATCAGTGATGTGGTTACATCTAGAGTACAAAGTGGGGGACCCAGAAGGACCGTCAGGGAAGCACCACTCACCACCTTGCTGCCCCCTGCCTATGCTACCTTCTTGTCCCCACTTCCCTCCCCCCATTTGCTCTTCCCCTCTCACTCCCTGGCCCTAATTTCTCTTCCTGGCTCTCCTTCCCTCTGCTTTGCAGTCCACACATCCTCTCTCCAACTCTGTCCCTCATCTCTTCTTTTAAAATTAACATTTGGGTGCTATTTTGGATAACTACAGCAACCCTAAATGCTGTCTGAACAGCATTTTATTTCCCAACAGTGTCTACACTTGTGCAGGCATGGCTTTTTATCCTACAATGGCTGCTGAACTCTCACAACACTACATGGCACAATCTGGACCACCATTCTGTTGGAAGTTCCAGATGTGATGTCCCTGTCTCAGACCTCCAGACTGAGTGGCAAGAGAGCTAGACAGGCACAGTGACCTTTCTTCCTGTATCTACTCTTCTGCCACTGTCCTCTTTGAAATTCAGATTGTGTTCTCAGGGATCAGCTTCCCCTTTCCTGCTTCTCTCTCACTCTGAATGTAGACTTGCTCTGTACCTGCACGTACCAAGAGAGGGACATGCGGTCCTCTCTTGGCACCATGAGGCAGATGGGCCTCTTGCCATCTGTATCCATCCTTTAGCTAGTAAGTTACTAATCTATCATTGTCACCACAGTCAGAATGAAGAGATTTAACATGGGCCACTTTATTAACTATTCATAATCAAACAACTGGCGAGGGGCTGCTGAAATGTACTGAGGAATATGACAGGTGTCAACTCCTGACCACCTTCATTTCCTTCTGGGTGATGCACCTGCCCCGATCTCAAGCCATGAAGGTAGCTCTTGACCAGCAGCTTGGCATATTTAGGAGAACTCCTGGCCCACCACCCCAGAAGCCGCAAGGC